AGGAGAGGTCCTGCAGAGAGCAGGTGGCACCCCAGAGTCCCATACCCAGAGTTACAGACCTCCATGGCCTAAGCAATGTCCCCAATCTCTATCATAAAAGGTTTTTTCCTTCTTGGCTGATGGGTCCCTCAGGAGTCCTCACCCACTTCCACAGTAGCCATTGGCTTGGTCCCACTCTGATACCAAGCCATATGCAGGACTGTTTGTATTCGGTGGCTTTGGGGCTACCAGATTTTATTTTCTCAGCTTCAGCTTTAGCCTCATCCTGAACCCAGCCCACCTTAGCCCTGTGCTCTTCAATGCACCTGGTGTCCCTCTTCCTTGGCTCCCACCCTGCTCCACCGCACCCCCTATTCTCTGTCCAGCTTTTTGAAGAGAGCAAGGACCTCATAGTAGCCCCTTGCCCAGCCTCCCTCTTAACTCGGGGTCCTCTAGAACTTGTCCAGGGCAGGGCAGGCAACCCCAACAGGCTAAAAACAAAATAGAAACAACTTTATTTGTTGTGTGTGTAGAAATACACCTATGATGGAATGCATGCGAAGGTCAGAGAACAAGTTGGGGGTGTCTGTTCTCTTCTTGCATGTGAATCCCAGGGAATCCAACTCAGATTGTCAGACTTGGTGGCAAGCAACTTTGCTGGGACACTGAGCCACCTCAAAGGTCCTACGAGAGCATTCTTCCCCTTTTCCATCTTCCCACAGAATGGACTGGGCAGCTATTAGTATAATTTAAAAATATGGAAACACACATGAAAGTCAATAGCTCAGTATAAAGCATGCATTCACTGCAGCTCCAACAATCCCCAATTCAGAGGCAATCTGGTTTAATCTGCACCTGACTTCCATCCTCTTCCTGTTGATCGTTTCAAAGCAGTTTCCCTGCGTCACAGACTCCCATCCACACATTCTTCCGTGTGTACCTCTGGCAGGCATGGCCTCCTCGCACCCTGAAGTTGGTACAGAGAAGGCAAGTCAGACCACATCTCACCCTGCCTCCCCCCTCTAGTTTTCAGAACAATGAGCCAAGCAACCGTCCAAGGGCAATGAGGACTTTCCAAGTCTCATTATGAACACATTGGGTTTTAGCACATTAGGCACACTTTAATCCATGCTTTTGTTTGCTTTTAGAGATAGAAGCTCATGCTGTAGACTTTGAACTCATGGCAACCCTCCTGCCTCAGCTTCCAGAATTCAGGGATTGTAGATGTGTGTCTGTATGCAAAGACTCCATAATTGTCTGTGCTGTTTGAATTCTTCTGCTGTTGCTCAGATCCTTTCAAATGTGTACACACATTTGTGTGTGTGTGTGTGTGTGTGTGTGTATGTAAGCATGGGTATATATTTGCATGTGTGTACAAGGGTGTATCTGTGTGGAAGTGTGCAAGCATGAGTATAAATTTGTATGTGTGTGAGTATGTGTGTAGGAGTATATATATATATATATATCCACAATGGTGTGTGTGTGTGCACACACACATGGAGGCCAGAGGATTTTGGTGTCCTTCAGGGGCAGTCCATCTTGATTTTTGAGTCAGGGCCTTTCGACCTATCCCTGATTGTCCTAAAACTCACTGTGTAGAGGAGGCTAGCCTTGAACTCACAGCAATTTGCCTGCCTCTGCCTCCCAAATGCGGGGACTACAGGCATGTGCCACCACTCCCAGCTTCTTTTTCTGTAATTCAAGCTCTCATGCTTGCCCAGCAAGCACTTGACTGGCCGAGCCACCTCCTCAGCCTGACCCCTCCAAAGGTTTATTGGATATAGCTGTAAAGTAATTTTGAGAGCAAATAACAGAGGAGATTATGGTAATATTTCAAACTCACATTTAAAGATTTGTTTGTACTTCTTTGATTTTACATCTGTATCTTTTTATATCTTGGTTCCTAAGGAACTCAAAAGGATTTCTTATTTGACATGTAAACATATATGTTTGATTTGTTCAGACAGTCGGTATTTCATATCTCAAGGTTCTGCAACACACACCAGATGGGAGAGATTTGAAAAACAAATTACATCTGGACTGGACGAGGGCAGACTCTTTATTTTTTCCCCCAACAATAGAATGTATCAATACTCAACCTGGCATTCCCATTATGCTGAGCATTTTGAGGAATCTAGAGATGGTTTGAGTCATACTGGAAGATGTATGTAGCTTCTAAGCATAAACTACCCTGCCTTATGTAAAAGACTAGAGCACTGAGAATTTTAGCTTGATGAGGGGCATCTGGAGTGGGTCCTTGCCAATATTATTTCTTATGGTTCAGTTATTTTGTCCTTTGGATATTAGTGATAATAATGACCATGTGCCTTCATTGTGTGGCTATGGTAGAGTATAAATCAACCAACTGAAGGCTACTGTATTTGTCTTTATGTATGTGTGTAATACGCTTTTACATGTGTGTGCAGATACATGCACTGTGGACACCTGGCATATGTGTGAATGATAGAGTCTGAACTCCAGTTTCATACTTGAGAGGCAAGCTCTCTTACTCACTGAGCCACCACTACAGCTGTTTCTTGTCTTTTGCTAAAATAAGCCACATTGCAGTATACAAGTTTATGTGCTTATTCTCTCTCTCCCTCCCCCCTCTCTCATTTTACATAGCCCAAATTGGCCTTGAACTCCTTATGTAGTTGAGGATGACCTTGAACTCCTGATACCCTTGCCTCTACCTCCCAAGTACTCAGATTACAGGTATGCCCCCACCATGCCCAGCTTCCTTTTGATTTTTTTTTTTTTTTTTTTTTGGTCTTTTGCTCAGTTATTAGTGGTGGGATTTCCAGGTCAAAAGTCACATACACTTTTGCTAAGGCTGCCAAGATGCCCTTCCCACTGGTGATTAGGAAAGCACCTGCCACCCTGGCCTCTCCCAAAGATTGTGCCGTCAAACATCTGGAGGTTTGCCAATCAGATAGTGGGCCACTGGTATCAGAGTGTACTTTTAATTTGCATTTTCTTGTTCTGAGTGAGGCTGAGCATTTTTTTTTCCTGAGGCACTAAGGCCACATGCCTCTTCCCCTGTGTGCCGGTCCCGTCTACAGCCCACTCTGCCACAGCCCTGTCTGCCACAGTCTCCTTTAGTCTTAGATGTTCCTTGTGTACTAATGATATTAATCCTTTGCCTGTGGTGGTGAAAACTGTGGGGCTCTCCCAGCTTGTCCCTTATCTCTTATTTCCCCTGCGGTAGCTTTCTTGTTTTATCTGCTGCTTCTGGATTTCACAGCATAGTCGGAAATGTTTTCCTCAGTGACAGTTCCTGGAGGCAGGTGCTCCTCGACCCCACTGCCCCACCACCACCCTAGACCCAGGTCTGCACACACTCTACCCCTGGCTATACCATCAGCCCTCACCCTTGAGTTCTTTCTGCACAGCTTTATTTTAACTTTTATACCGAAGCTTCTGACCCACTTGTCCTAGTTTTCTTCTGTTGATGTGATAAAACACCAGGACCAAGAGCAACTTAGATGAGGAAGGGGTTTATTTCGGTTTCCTGGTTGCAGTCTGTCCTCAAGGAAAGCCAGCGGAGGACCTCAATCACGAACCTGCTCGCCATTCCACATAGCACAAATCCCATCAAAGAATTCATTCACAGCCAAAGGAAGTACAGCAGAAACCCCACAGGAATGCTGCTTGCTGCTTGCTCGCTTGCTTGTTCTCAGGCTTACGCTCAGCTTTCAAACATAGCTTAGAACCACCTGCCCAGGGAACAGTGCTGCCCACAATGAGTTGTGTCCTCCCACAACAATTAAGACAATCAAGACAGTCCCTCAGACACACCCACAGGCTAATCTAATCTGGGCGGTCCTTCAGCTGAGATTCCCTTCTCAAATGACCCTAGGCTGTGTCAACTGAAACTAACAAAGGCACCATCTGAACGTTATTCTTATCCTTCTCTACATGCCCTTCTACTGTCAATGCTTTGTTGTTTTGAGGCAGGGTCTTGTGTAGCCCAGGCTGATCTTGAACTCTTGATCCTCCTGCCTTTACCTCCCAAGTCCTGGGATTATAGGCTTGCCCCACTACCTGGATGCTTATTGAAGGCACACTTTTCTTCTGTTGTGTTTGGGATGTGGAGTTGTAGATGTTAATCACATCCGTGTACATTGTCCTGGGATGCAAGTCTTCTCCCACCCCACATCAAGGGCAGTATAGTTCTGACTGAGACAGCTCCCAAGACCCAGCTGCATAAACCTTCTGACTATTCCCATACCACCACAGGACAGCAGCCCCAGGACAAGAAGCTCCTTCTGTGTGACCCTGGGGAGGTGCAAACTCCCTTTACCTGATTAGGCAGCCCTGCGGATGGTGTCTACCAGTAAAAGCCGAAATCTAGCCCTTGCTTGGGCCAGCTTTAGCCCACTCTCCCTGACTGCTATCCATAGTCGGTCCCTACCTCAATCTCACAGCCTTAGTGGGCAGCGATTAGCTACTGGGAGGCATTTTTGCATTCCCCGCCACGAGCAGGGGCTTCTGGACATCTAAGGGTGCTCAAGTGTTCTTTGAGCCAACATTTCCTCATCTGTGCCCGAGGGTGTCCACGCGTGGCCCAGGATGCCCTTCTTTCTGCCTCCCGCTTCCTCTCTAGGGTGGGTTCAGAGGGCGAGAAAGTGGGTGCTCGTGCTCCGCCCAGTTCGTGGTGGAACCTGTTGGTCCCAAGTTGGAGGACCTAGAGCCTACCAGGGCAAGCAGGCGTCGGGGTGCGGAGAAGCAGGTGCGCCCAGCAGGTGCAAGGGGAGCTAGCGAGCAGCCTAGCCGGGCTTGGCTTACCGGGTGACCTGTTGGCTGAGCGGAGCCACAGGTAGGCAAGCGGTGGCTCCCGGGGGTGGGGCGTCCCGGGGGCGGGGCGTGCCATCTCAGGGGACCGGCCCCGCCCCCGCCCCCTAGCGGAGCAGACAGCGGCTCCCCAGTGGCTGGGCTGGCAGCAGAGGCCACCCGCACTGCACCCAGCGCCCTTCACCTCAGCTCCGAGGCGCGGCGGGGCCCCGGGGTCCTGCCTAGCCATGGACGCGGCCTCGTCCCCGCCCAGTGCTGAGAGGAAGCGCACAGGCTGGGGCCGCCTGCTGGGCGCCCGGCGGGGCAGCGCGGGACTGGCCAAGAAGTGTCCCTTCTCATTGGAGCTGGCCGAGGGTGGCCCGGAGGGCAGCACGCTCTATGCTCCCATCGCGCCACCCGGAGCCCCGGGGCTCACGCCCCCCTTGTCGTCCCCTGTGTCGCCAGCCCCGGTCCCCGCAGACCTCGGCCCACGTCCGCGCGTGAGCCTTGACCCGCGTGTCTCCATCTACAGCACGCGCCGCCCGCTGCTGGCGCGCACCCACATCCAGGGCCGCGTCTACAACTTCCTGGAGCGACCCACGGGCTGGAAGTGTTTCGTGTACCACTTCACCGTGTAAGTAAACCTCCCTGCACACGCGACTCCTCTGGGCTGGTGCCGCTGCGACCCTCCGGGAGGCGAGGAAGGGCTAATCACAGAAAATAGAAATCAGACTAGGAGCCAGCCCCTTACGTTCAGGGACTCTGCTGTGGCAGAGAGGAGGCGAGTGGAGGGGACCCTTGAAACAGGGGGGTACATCAGCCTGGGTGTTCCCCCAGGTCATGCACTTGGGATGGGGGGCGAGGGAACTAGGTTTAGGTGTTAGTCCCCACAGGAGAAGTACGCAAGCTGGGGGCCGGCCTTGCCAGCCTTTTGGTGTGGGTCAGCTGTGACAAGAAACTCGGGAGCCCCCAGGAGTTTGTGTGCAAACCCATCCAGGTTTGGGGCAGGTGTCTCTGTCTTGGGCAGTCAGAGCGGCAGGGATGTGAACAAGATAGGCTGGCAGGTGCAGAGTGCCCACAGCTTCAGCAACCCAAGCTGATGAAGGCGGGCTGCATGCCCTTAGCCCAGCAGACACACTGCCTGGAGTCCGTGAGCAGCACCTGCTGAACTGGAAGGGAGCAGAGCTGCGCCTGGCCTTCACTCCTCCCAGGTGGCTCTCATTTTCACGGGCTGCCTGAGAGGGGCAGGGCACTCCTTTTTCCAAGGGCAGGGGCACAGAAAAGTCATCTCTGGGAACGGGTCTGGCTGACCTCCTTGCTGCCTCCCTCTGGCCACCTTGAGGCAGCACTTCCCGGCTGCCCAAGTTCCTTGGTGCCCTGCCAGCCTCTGGCTCAGGATCCTACTCTTCCGACCCCACAGCTGATTGCTTTGGAAGCTCCATTAGGTGACCTCCTGTCTTGCCACCTGGGCAGGGCCTCCACTGGGCGTGTGGGGTTCTGTTTACTCCTCTGAGGCACAGCAAGAGCTGGGCTCAGGAAGGTGAGTTCTGATGGCTGCTGGCCTTGCAGAGGGAGACAAAGATCTCCCAGGCTAGCCAGGGCAAGTGTCAGGACACCCTGTTTCCACAGCCATTCTTGGTATGTCTTTAAGGACCCCTGGCCCCCTGGCCTTGCCTCCCAAAGTGCCAGGATACCTGAGTCTTCATTGCTGGTCTTTCGAGGATGGAAGCGCAGCATGTGTCTGCAGCAGCAGTAGGTTTTTCTCAGGATATAGGGAGTAGCATGCAAAGACCCCAAAGGGCCTTACCACTGTAGGAATGTCTAGCAAACACATGGCTTTTGCTTCCCAGCACTTGCCTGCTGGATCCAAGATCCCAAGATGAAAGGGGCGGGGTGCTGTTACCTTTTTGTCCAGGAGCCCAATTTGCCAAGGTGAGCGGCCTTCAGACACTTGCATGGTATCTTCCTGGGGATGCAGGTCCTTAGAACGAACATCTTTAAGTTCCTGATTGTGGGTAGCCTGGCCCTGGTGGAGGAAGAAGGCTTGTCCCGCCCCAGAGGAAGTCTGTGCTTACACTGTGCTTTCTTCCTGAATTGGATTGTTCAGCCCTCGGGAAGTTGGCTCAGCAAAGCCTGCCTTTGCCCAGCCTTCCCAGAAGCCAGGAGCCATAGGGCCCTGGTGGCTCCTAGATAGGTGGTCTAAGGGCTTCTTTGTCAAACAGAGGGAGCGAGATGCTAGCTGCCGAGTGGAGGTTGCTCAACCTTCCCCAGTCCTATGGCTGGCTGCCCATGGAGTTTAGTTACCAAGAGGGAGGGGTAAGTAATCTGGGAGGACCCTGCTGGGCACAGCATGTGGCTTGCCCAGACCTTTTGGGTCAGTCGGTCTCCCGAGATGAGACATGGCCTAGCCACATCTTTATAAAATGTGTGGTCGTGCTGGCTGTCCCTGATGGTGCTCCAAGTAGCAACTGTGGCTGGCAGACAGTGAGCCCCACACTTTGTAAGCTGGACTCTAGAACATGTCAGGTGTGGGTTCTGTGGCCCAAAGGACGGGCCTGCTCTTGAAAAGCAGGGCATGAATGTGTAGGGGCAGAGGGGGAAGTAGGGGTGAGAGCCAGCGTCCTGCACGCTCTGGGGTATGCTTTCCCATATACGTATGGGGAAACAGACCCGGACATCCTGGCCCCTCCTTGGGGGACCCCTGCCTTGGCCCAAGTAGAGCAGCTCTTCCTGTGTCTGTGTTGGCTTTCCCTGGCTGACGGGGTCAGGTCATGGTCCCCAGCACTGCCCTTTGCTGCTTAGGTCCCCCCCCCCATCCTAATCCTATCTTGTGGCTCTTTGTGTCCCCAAAGAAAGCAGCCTTCTTCCTAGCCAACGTCACAGGGGTCCAGCTTCCTTGCTGCTGGGCCTTGGCCAGGGTCAAGGGCAGATATTCCAAAGTATCTGCTCTGATTGCCGAGTTGCTTGGAGATCCTGGTTATGACTAACAGGGCTTTGAGAGACACTGCTCACCTCCCTCATTCTTGAACCTAAACTCGATCAGCCTGTCTCCATCCTTTCACAGTTCTGGCTTGCTCAGGACAAGAACTTTCTGTTGGCTTTTGCTAGTACCTCGAGAAGCTGATCATGAGTGGAACAGCATGCAGATGTTCCTAGTGAGCAGTTGGGCTAGCCTTCCAAAATGCAGGATCTGTAATGTAATGGCTATAGCTCTCATGGGATGGCCACTGGGCAATTGTTTAGCAGACGTAGGAAGACAGCTGGCACGGTGATGGGGACAGAGCACTGAGGCAGCTGCAGCGCTGTGGAGTTGACCACATCTTTCCTTCTGGTCCCTGTAAACACCTATTCTTCAGCCCTGGATAAAATTTGAGGTGTCTCCTTGAGGCTTTTCCACATGCCATTTCCTTTGGGGCCTAGTCCCTTGGTGTCATCTGCTGGCTCTTTTATCATCATCCCCTGACTATCCACAGCTTACATACCCCTTCAACCTGTCCTCAGATTCAGTCTGGTATTTCTGTGTACACTGTTACCGGTAATGTGGAGCCCTTTATCTTGGTTTGCCCTTAGCTGGGTGGCCACAGACATCCTTTTTGCCAGGGCTCTCAGCTGGGTGGGAGAAGGAAGCAACCCTGTGGATCTCAGATCTGAAGGAGGGCCTCCCTATCCTGAGGTCATGAGGGTATGGGAACCTGTGCTAGGCCAAAGTAGCACTGGGAGCTTCTGAGGCAGGGAAGGTACCTACAGGGACCCATGGTGTAACAAGGACAGGGGTCAGGCCAGCTGCTATGGCCTTTGTTTTTCAGGGAGTTTAGTGCCTGGAGCCCTCTGGTGGCAAAGTAGTGTCCAGCGCTCATGCTTCCTGGGTGTGGTGTTGCCTGTGCAAACTGTGGTTGCACAATGCAGGGTGGCCTTCACAGCAGATGGGCCTAGCAGTGAGGAGCTCTGCAGCTGCCTCTCTCAAGTGGCTCCTGTGTAATAAGATGCACAGTTGGTTATAGACTGGAAAAGGGACCCCTGCTCCTCACTTTTTCTCCTCAGCACCCTTATCTAGGAAATGGACCCTGATTAGCCCCATGACCCCTCCCAGATCTGATGTTCCAGGACAACTATGCTATATTTCATTTCCCTCTTCATGAATCTGACAGGCTTAGGACAGCCTCCAAGGAGCATGTTCCAGGCCCAGAGACCAAGGTGGTATGGGAATGTGTGGTCAGTCCTGAGGGAAGGTTGCATGCAGAGAAGCTTCTGGAAGCTTTTATGTGGGGTGCTCAGGCCCTTCCTCTGGCAGGGATAATGAACAGACAAGTGCTGCCAACAAGGGTCACTTGGATGCTGAACCTAAGGAACAGTTGCAGAGGGCAGGTGCAGGACCTTTTGATTTGATGGGGAAGCATGTAGAAGAATAGGCAGGGTGGGGGGGCTGTCAGGGTGGCAAAGAGTAGGTGGTGCTAAGCTCTGTTCACCCCACCTGAGACACTCTGGGATGCATCCTCCTTGCCTCTTCCTGGTGAGGATCCCTTTTCATAGCCCTGCTGAGTGTACAGAGCCCCAGATTTCTGAGGGGAGCCAGTGGTTGCTGTCAGTAGGGTGACTGTGGCCAGCATGGGACCTGACTTTCCATGAGGCTTCTGAGCATGTGAAAGGACTGCCTCAGCAGCCCTTTATCTTCTGCTGTGTGGCCCAGCCCCATTCCCTGGCCCTACCCAGAGGCCTCTTGAAAGGTGGAAGGGACTGTAGAAGCACCTCTGTCGAGAGTCTGTCAAGTACGGCTACTTGCTGTGTGCAGTTGGGAATCCTGGAACTCGAAGAGGTAGATTACCTGCCTCAGGTCACATGGTTGGGTATGCCCAAGGAACCAGGAGCTGCTACCCCCTATACCACATGCTGATCAGAATTAAGAAAGGAATGAGTTGATGTTTTTCTGCTAGTAGAGAAGAGAGTCCTTTGGTAGAAGGAGCCTGTCCCCTGAGGATGCATTGGAGTGCAACCTGACAAATGTGAGCCTCAACACACACTCTGTTAAATGTGTAGACGCTTCCTCCAGGAAGGCTTCCCAGGTACAGATAGGCTCAGAGCCTTTGTCTGTGTCTCCCTGACCTGACTTCTTATACATGGAATGTCCACTGGTAAAGTTGTCCTTTTTTTTTGGTATTAGCATGTGTCTTGATGGTCCTGAGTGTTAAGAGGCCACACACACAGACAGGCAGGCAGGGCCACCTGGAGCTGTCTGGCTCCTTTCAAGGACTTTCTTCACCTTTTTCCTGGTGCTCACTCCACTCTCACAGCCTGGGCTGTGGCAACTGCTGCCTGGACAACTCTAAGCCCCACAGACAGGCCAGACTGATGACATCTGCCTGCAGTATTTTTATCCAGTAACATTCCTGGGCTTGGGAAACTGGTGGGTAGAGACAGAGGCTGCCAGAGGACCTTTCTGTGGCCTGGGGATATTCCTGAGGGCCCCACCCATTGCTGTTCTAATAAGCCAGGGCTTTTGTCTTGACCCGGCTCAGCACAGGCAGATCTGAGCTAGAAGCATTTCATAAGGTGTTTGCCCACTTTCTGGCTACCTCCTGGGAAGTCCCCTGCACTGGTTTATGGGACTGATCAGAACACACCTGGATGTGGTTCCAG